GAATGAAAACCCAAAATCTCTGCAAATGTTCATTAAAATTAATAAAATTTAATATTTAAAAAAACAAAACAAACGAAGTTAATACAACCATGAAGAGAGTCAGAAGAGTTTAGTAGTTCTAGACAATCAATCTAACAACACAACAATGGTGACCATCAAATATTTACATAAATACTGGTAAATACTACAACATAAAATGTTGTTTAAGAACAAGTGAGAAATTATTCCTGACATATTCTGGGATAGCACTATTGGGGATCTTATAGGAGGGGAGCAGAAGCAGTTGTTTAGGCATGGAGAAGTTACGGAGGTGGAGAGAAGCGATGAAGAAGTGAGAGAAAGAAGGTAAACGTCCCCTAAGGAAAAGGCACTTCTAAATTAGGCTTAAAAATCTCTTCTTCACAGAGGCTCAGACCTCCTTAACCGAGGGAAAGGAAAATGAGTCATGAAATGAACTTGACTTCTCTTTCTTAATCAATGTTAAAACCAGAGACAGAAAAATGAACAAGACATAGCTTCAGCCCAGGTATGGAAGTGCTTATTTTAAACTCTGTAAGAAGTAAATCGGACAAATCAAGAATTTCTTCCTGGAACTGAAATCAGGAATAAAGTTCTGTCAGGACCAATGTAGGTGGTCTTGAACATTTTCCAGCATGCTTTCTTTGCCTGAACCACCTTAAGTAGAGCAGTCTGACTGGAAACACATAATAACTAGACTCTTTACTTAATGGAGACTTGTATTTTGGCCACAAAGAAAACGCAGCCTTTAGTCATTGTTTAACTTGGGCACAGGCTAAACTACATTTGGAGACATAAATTCTAACAGAATTTGGCAAGCTGAAAGGGTTTCTTCTTCTAGTTTCTTACCAAAAGTCTAAGGAACAACAGTTCCAATTCAGCTGAGGCATCTCTAATTAATTCACTGGCTTATTATATAAAGCTGACCATGCTTTCCACAGAAATGAATCAATATTCTCTGAGTTTTCAAACAAAACATTGGGAATTTCAAAGGCAAGTTCTTAAGTACCCCTTCTAGAGATTCTAAACTAGTATTAGTGGAAATCCAGGAAATACACATTACAAAATCTAGGCCAAGGGGTTCTAATATATAAGAACTGGACAAATACTACTCTTAATTCCTATGAATGACCTACTGTACCAAAGGATGACAAGCAACAAGAGATTATCGGTAGATTTCCACACTTGGGACTAGCTGTCAGAGGGGCCAGTGCCTGGAGAAAGATATCAAGCCTGGTAAACTGGAAGGTCAGTGAAAAAGAAGAGCATCAATGGACTGCCACAGAGGCTACAGCAGTGGGCACAAGCACAACAGGGAAATGAGAACAGAGCAGGTCAGGGCAAGGCTGTTCTACTGTCCAGAAGGGCTGGGACTAGTCAGAGCCAACCTCACAGCACTAATAACAGCCACTATAATTACAGAGTATTTTCCTCTTGTTTTAATATAAAGGATCCTCTACGGGTGTAAGTTGTCAGTAGAAATGTGAGTGTTGCCTCTAAGACTGAAGAGGTATTCCTTGCATAAGTGGGAAAACTCAAATGCTGACCTCTGAGAGTAAAAGTCCCTGGGCAAGTTTGATAACCTAAACAAAACCATGCTTACTTCAAATTTTACCCTAATCAGAGAAGTGAGGATTCAAGAACAAATAGTACATGTGTCAGGAGAGGAGCACAAAGCAAAAGAATTTATAAAGCATTTCACACACTTCTGTAAGTCACTCAACAATTCAGAGTAGCAGAGAGTAACAAGTACAAGAATGCACTTATCCAACCACACTGGACTGTGGGGCAACAGAAGGCAGACACTATCATGCAATGTCCTGACAGGAAAGAAGTCTTACGTTTAGGCCAACTTTAACTGTTGGATCACATCTGTTCAATTATCCAGGCTCAAAAGGAAACAAAAACAAAAGGCTAATAGAAAGGTAAGGGGAAGATACATCACTTACATGATAGTCTGGGTAGCTAGGAAGCTTCTGTCCCTTTTAAATTATAGGGTACAGTAATAGCTGTCTGAAGAACGAAATTCAAGGAAAATTAAAGGGAGTTGAACTACCTAGATGGTGGAGAACAGAAAGGCTTTCATATTCTCTTGCTGGTATATAAATGCAACACATATGAACATTTCCAAATACTTAACCTTCTGTGATTGGTTGCTCTATTACTGAGTAAGTGGGAAAGGTATGAGTCTACTTGAGCGTATGAGAGAAAGAAGTAAATCTGGGAAATGGATAAAAATGCTTTTTCTAGTAAATTATTTCCGTTTACAATTTCTCTAGAATTAAAGAAAAAAGACAGTAACTGGTAATGGAAAAAATTCCACTTTTTCTTCAAATACAGAATTATTTTTTTAAAAAAAGTAATTATTATCATCTATTCTAACAACAGCATTATATATTCTAAAAGGGGTACTTTCCTACAGCTGAACTCACAGACTCTTTTAAAACCATATAATGCAGGAACTCTGGTGTCCTGGTAGCGAGAAGCTGTGCTGCAGACCTGAAGGCATGTGGTTCGAGGCCACCGGCTGCTCCGCAGGAGACGGATGAGCAGTCTCCTGTGTGACTGCCTCTGAAAACCCACCTATGGGTCGGTTCTGACTTAACAGTACAGTGACAACAACAACATTCTCAATTGCACATAAATAAAAATTAAATTCTAAGAATACAATATATAAAAACTATTCTATTAAAAAAAAAACAAAACAACCATATAATGTGAGGGTTTCACTTTTTTTCAATATGTGGAAGCATTTAAAAAAATGTTTCCTGCTGTTCTTTTCTCCTGAGATTGTGCTCAGTACAAATTTCTGAAAAATAGGACTTCTGCTTGAAGGTGGGAAAAAGGAAACACTTTTCTTGATAAAATAATTCTAAAAAATCAATTCTATTTGAGTGAACAGAAATATAAACACTTAAAAAAAAGAAATATAAACACTTGAAATACACAAGAAAAAGAAAAACTGGTGACTTACCTTGTTTGGTTTCTTTTTAAGGTCACTCTGTTCAAAAGAGAAAATATTATTTTAGTATCATCACTTTTTTAAAATTTTAGGACAGATCCAAATGAACTCCTACTAAGTGTGTGTTTCCACCTTGGACCATGAGGCTACTTTCTTGTGGTATTGGGAGACTTTAGAGTCAGCAGGACCCCTACTCTGTGCATGTCACAGTTTGCTGTTGAAGTTGTATTTGGTTAAGAAGTCACTGGCCAGGGGGTTGCTTTCTTACAAACAAGTAACTTGTAAGAATAATCAAGCCCATCTTCTAGGCAGAAATGTTATTATAATCTAAAATAAATTAACTTTTCAGATACGCTACAGGTTCTACTTTGCAAACTGGTAACTCTACGTTATCACAGTTAAGACATGAAAATTTTTGAGCACATTTAGCCTGTGGTCTAGGTTGAACGAGTTTCCATGATTATTCATTCATTCTTCCAATTCTGTGGCAATTTCAATTGGTCCTTACCGGATGGACATCACCAATATAGTACTGCTTCAGCATTTCTCTGGCATCAGAGGAGTGGCCTACATCTTCAAAACTTTCACTTGCATCTGCACCTGCTTGTTCCAGCAGCACTTCCTCTCCACCGGGATGCTACGAGGAAAAGAGAGTTCATTAACACAGGACTCTCTGAAAAGCAAAAGAATAAGTTCTTTTCCACTTCTCATCTTACCCTAAAGCCCAACTTATTCTTTTAGAAAATCTCAATGATTTAATAAAGGAGACAGAGACTGGATCAAAATCCACCTTTATAAAATGAATAAGTACCAACATCTCTCAATTTCAACAATCATCAAAAAAAGTTTCATGATTTTAAGTCCTTTTTTCAAGAATTTTCTTAGCAGTAAAATTGAAATAGCATACGCTTCATCATCCTCAATACAGAATTCAGTGATTTTTTTTTAAGTTTATCCACATGCTATGCAACTGTTACCACTATTTCATTCTAGAAATTTACATCACTCCAATAAGAAACCTCTTATTTGTCAGTCAAAACAAAAACCAAACTTATGGCCAGAGTTGATTCCAACTCTGACTCTATAACAGAACAGGACTTTTCTTCCTTTGAAGGATTTTCTATTTCTGTATTTTAGTCACTTTTTTGTTCCATTTTGGTCTACTCGAGTTTTCTTTTTTAGCTGTTTTAGGGTTATCTGTTGCCTCCAAAACATGATGAATTTGGCATCTTTGTAGGTGGAGACAACTGTCTGATGTGGAAATGTCTTTTAAGGGGTGGGGCACCCAACATGTGACAGTTTCTGCTGGCCTGAGAGGAGCCTCAAATAGTCTGCCTGGTAAGGGCTTTAGCCTCTGCCACTCAGGGAGGATGCTGGCAGGTACACGGTCAAATACGGCTCATGAGAAGTGATGATTAGTGCCAATCTAAAATCCCCGAGAGTGATGCCTTCAACAGAGTGTGCACTGCTCCAGAGTGTGCCTGCGGGAATCCAGAGATGAATGCAGGTCAAGAACCACCTAATACAGAGAAAGACCACCAGTTTACAAGCCATGGAACCATGGAGAGACACTGCCACAAGTTCTAGCAGAGCACAAGCAACAGCTAGCTGCTGGTGGTGTGGGCATTTCTACAAATCCAGGGTCCTATGGAAAACAAACAACTGGCGAAAATGGCTATGCTATGCAGTTTATGATACTGCCTTCTCATTCAATGCTTTTCGTCAGTTCTTGATTTCTAATTTTGGCATTATATTTTATTTCTGATGTCATTGTTGACACGGACCTGGATTGGCATCTGTCTATTCTACCACCTTACCTGGAAGTCTGTACTATAGTTTTGCAAAATGTCATTACGAAGGGAAACTGGACAAACAGTACAAAGAATTGCTCTATTACTCCTTACAAAAAGCATGTGAATTTCAATTTTTAAAAATTCAATGGAATTTCTTAAGTATACCTAAGAAAAAGTAGATATAAATATGGGGGGGGGTCCTCGGGGGTATGCACAAGGGAGCTCTGATAGCTTAGTATTAAGAAGTTGTGGGGAGCTCTGGTGGCCTAGTGGTAAGGAGTTGCAACTACAATCCCAGAGGTGCGCGGTTCGAATCCACCAGATGCTCTGCCGAGGAAGGAGGGACAATGTTCTCCTGTACCAGTCAGATCTGATTTGATGGTATACTCACACAAAAACAATAAAATAAAATAAAAAAAGAAGTTGTATTGCCAACCCAAAGGCACACGGTTCAAATCCACCAGCTGTTCCACAAGAGAAAATTCAGCATTCTCCTCCTGTGCAATTTACTCTCTGAAAACCCACTGGAGGGGCAGTTATGAATCCAACTTGATAGGACACAACAACACACCACATATGAATATGCACATACACATTCATACAGTGTGCCTATGAACACATTCATATGAACACACACAAATGGTATTACGAACATTATGTTATGATCCTAAACGATAAACAATCCAAATGCTGTCAATACATAGTAAATAAATGATGGTGTAATCATACAAATATAATCCTGATAATCAGTATGAAAAAGGAACCACTGCTACATGCAATAACAATAAAGAATCTAATACAATGAACAAAAGCCAGATATGGATGGATAGATATAGTGACACATTCATAAAAAGTTGAAGAACAAGCAAAACAAAGCTACGGTATTAGTCAATATAATGGATAGTTTGGGGAATCTGAATAATGGAATAACATGGGAAAGGATAGTGTCATCATAACTGCACAACATGGCAAATATACTTAATGGCACAGACTGGTACATATAAAATAGGCTAAAGTGGTGTTTTATCTTCTATATTTTTAACAACACACACACACACTAAACTTTACCTGGTAAATCTTTAATTACTTAAAAAGAAGGTGTAACAATATGAGAGCACTAACATCTTGTCTTCCTTGTTTCTGAAAAAGATTACTTTCCCATGTTACATATTCTTTCAATTTTAATTACCCTTCCTCAACCTAAAAAGATGTGTTCATGAAAGGAGACTTTCTAAGTAACATTTTTATTCTATCCATTGATCACTGAATTATTCAAGAGTCCCAATAACATCAAAAACCTTGAAATTAAGGATTAGTGACTATACTGGCTTTTTTCCAGTTGGACAACACTACACCCATTCACCCAACTACAATTTTGGGAGTGTCAGGAAATTCCTACCCCCTCCCATTTGACATTATTAGGTACTGACAGGTTCTAACAGTCCAGGCTTCCTTGCAGGTTGGAGCACATGACAGCAAAGGCACTAAATCTTTAGAGCGTACCAATACCTCATTAATCAAACTGGGGGAGGGGATGGAAAAATATATGTAAGGGAAATGTAAGAAACCAAATTAGTTAACAAGTAGACCTAGCATTTAAAAAAAAAATCTTTATGAATGAACGGAAAACCAAGGGCTCTGTAAACTTTCACTCAAAGCACAAACGAAACAGTAAGTAGAGATTTACTGCTATTTTAGTAACAACCAAAATTTAGTTATCAGGAAAAAAGGTTAAAAAAAATACACAGGAGAGGGGAAGGTGCAGATTTGTTGTTCACAGGGTCACTATGAGTCAGAGTCGACTCAAACTAACTCAAATGATATTCTTAACTCCTTACCTGACAGAGGGTAATGCAGCATCACTGAGCTGCTAATGTTTCTGCCTGAAATGTCTTCTCTCATTGAGATGTCTATTTTTGACTCAGTAAGAAAATAAAGTGCCAATTTCAGAAGAGGCTGAATGTTTCCTATTTTCAACTCTTATGAATTAACAATAAAGCTCCATTGGAAGCAACAGACTGTGTAATAACATGTTCAGTTCATGAAGCCAAGGATGAACTTGAGACACACCCAGGGATCTTAGTATTCAATATTTTCCCTATAGATGGCAGCTGCAATTTAATGTTCTTAATTACCACACTACTTAGCTTGCAATAAAGAACCGTAGGGCACAGTGGCTAAAGCAGGAGACTGCTAACCAGAAGATTGGTGGTTTGAACTGAATAGATACTCCATAAGAGAGAGCTATGGCAGTCTGCTTCCAGAAAGATTCCAAAAACCAACACCAAACCCACTGCCATGGAGTTCATTCAGACTCAGGACCCTCAACAACTGGGAGCAGAACTGTCCCAGAGTGTTTTCCAAGGCAGAAAACCAGTGACCTTTCAGTAAGCAGTCAAACCTTTACTCAAACCTATAGGATTAGTGGGGCTCTGGTGCCTTAGTGGGTAAAGAACTGTGCTGCCAATCAAAAGGCAGAGAGTTTAAATCCACCAGCCACTCTTTAAAAGAAAGATGAGCCTTCATGTGATTTACAACCTCTAAAAACCCACTGGAGGGTCAGCTAGGAGTAGGTTCTCACTCAAAGGCAAATGAATTGAGTATATAGTTGGTCTAAGTCAGAGCGACTCAATGACAGTAGGTTCGGCTTTTGGTGTAAACTTGCAATGTGATACAGAAACTAAAGGATTAAATCTGCCTTGTTACCATGAAGGTCCTAATGGCACTACAGAGTCAAAAGCTCAATTTTACGTATTTACCTACTACAGCTTAATAAAAATGTTTTAAAATGTATTTGATTAGAGTAAAATATTATTTTTTTCAGACAGTCTTTCATAGGCAATAATTAACATTAGCTGATGCAATTAACTTGTTAAAATGTCTAAGCAAACCCTTATTAAACATTTTTAAAGGTTGAGTCACATTTTTATAACTGGTATATAGAAAAAAGAGGCATTTAAACGTAGGGTCTACTTGGTCTACCTAGTCTACCTAGTCCTAGACCACTGCATAATCTAAAACTACGTTCTTCTAGTCTACCTAGTCCTAGAGCCCAGTCTAATCTAAATCACACTCTCAGCAAAACTGTAGAGAAGATCAAGATGGCAACTGTTGTGGGTTATACTGTCTTCCTAAAATAGGTGTAAATTTCACTAGCTCCTGATTCTCCAAGATTTGACAGTTAGTCAATAATGTAATCATCATCCATGATGTGATCAATTAGTTATAAAGGGATTAAGGTTGAAAGCAACACTCTTGACCCAATGTGAAGTGAGTTTCCCTGGGGCATAACTTGTATCATCTTTCATCTTAACAAGGAATAAAAGGAGAAAAGCAAGCAGAGTTAAAGGAATCTCAACAGCACCAAGATAGAAGAACTGGGAGTGAGGCATCTCATTTAGACTCAGGGTCCCTGAGATGGGAACTTACTAGACCCAGGGGAAATGATGAGAACACATGCAGCTCAACAAGGAATGCAAAGTTCACAGATACTGAAAAGAGACAAAAACTATTTCCTCCCCAGAGGCAACAACGACAAAAAGTGAGTACTCTGTATTTGGATGTCTAGCCTCCTAAACTGTGTGAGTACAAATTTTTGGTTGATAAAACCAGACACTTGGGACTCCTCATGGTGGCGGAAGCTTGGGTGCTGTATGGTGGTGATTGGGTGAGCCTGGTGCTGAGCTCTGGCTCAGCCTCCGCGTGCCCCCTGGGCTCCGCACTCCTGATGCTTAGGTTTTGAGCCCTTCCTGGAAAGGACAGTGGTGAAATATTTCCTGGGTCAGAGCATGCCTCCAAGTTCCTGGGACCAAGTGTTCGCCACCTTCTGGCAGTGGTACCCAAA